AAGTCAGTATCCCGGCGCAACAAGATTTGCGCCATGCACCCTCTCAGCGCTGCCACTCCTGTCGCCGGCCAAGCCGAGTCGACAGGCGACGCGAGGCTTGCTCCAATCCCCCTTGACTTCAATGCTTTCCGCGAGTGCCGCGCCCAGCGGTGGCTGAACGGGGAAATCACCCTAGACCCGTCCGACGGACAGATGACCCCTCGGCGCGAGGACGGCACCCTGCGCGTCGCAACGTCGCAGCAGGAAGCCATCAGCGTCGCATCTCAGTATGTTATGGAACACATGTGCCATAACCCAGGAACGGGAACGGCCGACAGGCATCGCCTGTGGCGCCTGACGGGCGAGCAAGAACATGTGGTTCCTACAGCGGTGAAAGAGGCCCTCGAGCAGAGCTGGCGGACTCCCGTCGGACAGCTCAACCTTGACCTTCGAGTCATGCGTGTCTTTGTGATTGTTCGCGAGATCAGCAATTGTTTTCTCGACGAAGGATATCACATCGCCTATCCCACGACTGCCATCTACTCTCGAGAGCCCGCCGACGGAGTCAACATCGAACAGCGCCGCCTCGACGCATATGCGCTGGACAGCCGTGTCCGTTCGGCTGTCAACACCGATGACCTCGTTGAAGCATGGTCCCGCGACTTTTGCACTGAGCGTCGTGCCGAGCTCCGTCGCCACGGCGGAGCATTGCAAGACGCCGTCGTTTTCCTGCACCCATTCTTGGAGTCCAATCCCGAACAAGACTGTGACCAAGGCCCCCTTCGCACTGCCAGTGGGCGCTTCGGTCACTACGTGACGACTGCCGCGATGGGTATCGCGAGGTACGCTAAGTTACAGCATGAGACACGACTTCGCGAGGAGAGAGCCGCAGACGAACCCTCCGACGGCCCAGCCGATCAGGAGATGGCTTCCGCGTCGCCAGCAGGGCCAAGCTCTGCTGGCCGCCCGGCTCCGCCTTTTCCGCCTAGACCGCCCGCCGTCCCAGACGTTCGGGTCGGCGATGATGCCACAGAGTCTCCTCGCTCCGCCGGCGGTCAAACCGTATCGGCGGGTGACGTGGGATTCGCCAATGACCGCGCGCGCGCGGCGGAGCCATGGTGCCTGGGACCCCATGCGGCACTGCCCGAAGACCTCTGAGCACGGCGAGGTGGTAGGTTTCTGGGTGCACCGTGACCAGGTGCATTGGCATGCCCGCAAAGAACGTGAATGGCAATTCCTGCCCCACTATGACTACAACCACTGGTTCCCGAGAGACCAGGGCAAGGGATACAGCAAGAACAGGGGCAAGTCCAAACATGTGAGACCAGCTCCATATGCTGGCCCTGGCAAAGGCGCCAAGCCTTCGGCGCCTCACCCGCCAGCTTGGCAGAATGGAGGTGCCTCGTCTTCGACTCCGAGACCTCCTGCGCCGCCAACGCGTTCCCAGGCCCACTTGCAGAAGAAGTGAGCAAGGAGGAGTCGTACGACCTAGTCGTTACGACGTGAGAGGCCTGGCTTAAAGCGGAGGTGGGTTACGTCGGCGACCTCCAGCCCATCGCCCCCAGCCGGCCTGGAGTTGTTGGGCTCCTCCAGGTTGTATATATGTACAGAGGCTGGTCGATGTAGGCTGACGGGCTTACGGACCCCGCCGCGGGGGGAGTAAATATGCTCCTCTCCGCCTCATCTTCTAGTTGCCTCTCCTGCCGCCTGCCTTGCTTGACATTGACATTGGTACAGTTGCAGCTGTTTTGTATCAAGCCTGGAAAGGAGCGTGCTGCCGCGTGCCCGCGTGCGGGCGTCGGCCGGCCGGCCTCCTCCCTTCCCGTGCTTGTTATCATTTGCTATACGGATTATCCATTGTCTCAACCATGCCTCGTCCCAAACCCTCTCTCGCCGAGCATGTTGCCCACGATATCAGTGTTGGAGATCACGAGACCACAGTTCTTTTGCCATCTTACCCCGATTCTCAGAGGAAAGACTTCTGGGCGTGCCGGCCCCGGTCGGGGCCGTTCCCGCGGGAGGGGCCCCGGCGGCCCCTGGTGCCCTCGCCGCCCCGCGGTCGTCCCTTTGGCTCCCTTGAGGGGCGCCCGTGTCCTGGATGTCGTGTATGACCAGCTGGGGTCCCGCTATCTTGATTTTAGGGAGGCAGTGCTGAGAATGCGGGAAGACCCATGTCCCGATTGGCCCGTCTCGGGCCCGCGCGCGGCCCTCTGGTGCTGCCGCTTTATTTCCCAGAAGTCGTCCACCCCCATGGGTCGTCATGTCCGCTGGCGCCAGGAGGCGGGCCTGACCGACTCGGACCTGGGGGTGGACGAACACGAGAAGTGTTGCCGAGCTTTGGAGCACGCTGCTGTATATGACCAACTGAACGTGCCGAATCGCGCCAGCGTGGAAGTGATTTGCCGAGACCTCCAAGTGCAGGAGGAACGCTACAGAGCGCGTAGCGAATCCAGACCAGGCCGGCATCGATCGCCATCTGTTCATGGGGTCTGGCAAGGTGCGCGGCAATCTTTGCATTTGCCCCGACCTCCAGAGCTGGGTTACGGCCGAGCTCGCTCGTGAATCTGCTATCGCCAAAGAGCGCCGCAAGGCCCGGGAAGAGAGGGCTCTGGCTTCAGGATCTGGGGGCGCGGACGGCCCCCATCCGAAGTCGGGGCCCAAGAAGAGATGAATGCTTCATGGGCGGAGAGTTTCAGGCCCCTCTCCGCTCCAGACTTCGAGGGCCCGCCCCAGCTGCCCTGCCGCCCTCCTGGCCTCCACCCTCAGCGGCGGGCGCAGCGGGGCCTTTTTCCTTTGCCTCTCCCCCAGACCCAGCAAAGTGTCATCGGGGTGGCCAGGCCCAGCCGCCGAGTGTTGACGCGCCGGCGCTGCCTCGCTCATGCCGACGCCTGGGCCGCCGACGGAGTCGCAGTTTCGAATGATCTCCACGGTGCTTGCACGCCGCCGTCTGCGCCTAATGCCGACCAGCGGCGCGTTCAAAGTTACATCCTGGAGCCCCGCCGGGGACTTGATCGCCCCCCGGGGGGCTTCGATTTTGATCAGGGAGCCCTCAGCGAGCTCCTGTCTGGGACCACTATCTACGCCTCCGACAGCGGTCCTGTTGTTCCTTACTCTCTCGAGCGCATCTCGTGGCCTTCTCGCGACTGTAAGCCAGTGCCTGTCTGAGACCTGCTGTCGCCCGCCGATGCGTCTGCGTTTAAGGATTGGCGAGGGGACCTGCTCAGGCCGCCGGCTGAGGCTCCGGCTCTGCGCGCGGAGGCCTGCCCGAGGGGGGCCTACGTTGACCCTTCCCTCTCGTCCGACCCCTTCCAGTATGCGAAGTTTCTTTTCCAGGCCCATTCCAGGGGCATGTTGTCCTTTCAGCCTGCCCGGGGCCGGACAGGAGCGATGGGCATCTTCTTCGCGCGTGCAAAGGGTGATCAACAAATATTGATTTTCGACACGCGCGTAGTGAACTAACTGTTCGCTTAAGGCTCCGCCGAGTACTCGTTTACCGACGCCTAGTGCCTTCGCTAGTCTCGAGGTGCCCAGGGGCTCTTGTCACATCGTTTCTGGAGACTTGGAGAACGCGTTCAACCACCTGGCCGTGCCACCCGACATGTCTGATCTGTTTTCGCTTCCAGCTATCGATGCCGGTATCCTCGCGGTAGTCGGAGTGCCTGAGGTCCCCAGGGGGCCAGGTGAGGCCGTGCTGCCGTGCCTGCGCGTGATGCACCTGGGGTTTCAACTGGGCCATGCACGCATGCCAAGCCTGCCTCCGCTGGGCTATCAGGGAGGCGGGCTTCGAGGACGCGGAGATGGTGGAGGACGGGAGGCCCGGCCTGTGTCTGAACTGTCCGTCGTCATTGGGAGGTGCAGCATATGTGGATAACTTCTTCGCTTTGGGCAAGTCAGCAAGGAGTGTAGGTGCTAAGCTCCGCGATGTATCTCAGCGCCTCGTCGGCGCAGGACTGACAGTGCACGAGCTGCAGCCCGCCGCGCAGGGCGCAGAATTTCTGGGGCTGTCGCTTCGACGCGGACGGGAGCTGTCAGTGCGCCACATAAATGCGTGGCGTCTTCGTTTTGCCATCGAGGAGGTGCTCAGGAGATGGAAGTGCAGTGGAGCCCTCATGCGTGTGTTGGTAGGTCATTACACATGGACTACGCTAATCCGCAGAGATGGCCTCAGCTTGCTGCAGTCTGTGTATGCCTTCATTGAGTTTGCGGGGTCAGCACCGGTCGCTCTTTGGCAGTCAGTCAAACGAGAGTTGTGGGCCATACGTTCCGTGCTCCCGCTGCTGCGCTTGGATATCGCTGATGAGTGGCATCCACAGTTGTGTTGCAGTGATGCTAGTGATTTGGGTATTGGGGTCGTTCATCGTCGCCTGGATCCTGGTCGAGTCGCTTCGATCGGTCGCACCTGTGAGCGTTGGAGGCATCGCGTGGAGGGCGCTGAGCGTGCCCGAGAACGAGCTTTGCATCCCGAGGCCTTGGAGGGTCCCGCCCTACCTCGTCCTTCGGTGTCGGCGGTCTTCTCAGGCAGCCATGAGCAGTGCTACCTGGAGCTTTCGGAGGCGAACTTCGATGAGGTCCCCGCGGGGCTCCTGAAGGTCGACTAGTGGGGCAACGTCGTGGCGGTCAGCGTGCCGCAGGGTCACGACATCTTGGAGCTCGAGGGGGAGGCCTTGCTACTGGCCTTGCGTCACGTGTTCAGGGACTCGTCCGCGATCGGCAAGAGGATCCTCGTCTTGGTTGACAACTTGCCCCTGGCCCTCGGGGCCACCAAGGGACGGGCCCGTTCGGCATATTTTTGGGGACCGTTGCGCAAGCTCGCCGCTCTGGGGCTGGCTACTGGCAATCGGATACATGTTCGCTGGATCCCCTCGGAGCACAACCCCTCCGACGCCCTGTCTCGCGGCCGCCTGGGCTGGTTCTCGGGCGAGAGGGCCGGCGCCCCGGCAGCAGCCCCGCTGCAGGGCCACCTGGCGGCCACCGCTGACGGGGCCCGCCACGCGCCGTCCGTCTGCGGCCTCGCGCTGCAGGACAGCCCGAGGGACGGCCGCCGGCCCGGTGTCGCAGCGGGCGGAGCTGGCCACGTCCCTGGTGCAGGGCTGTCGCCTGGTGCCAGGCCCCTCCCCCCTGGAGAGGGTGGCCGTCCGCCCCGAGACGGGGGAGTTGCTCCGGCGCCTGGCGGCGAGGTTCCAGGACTTCTGCCAGGCCGAGCTCCGCGACTGGGCCACGTGGGCCCAACTGGACGTGCACTTGACCGACTTCATGAACCTGATGTTCCTGGCGGGGGAGGCGTCGGACACGGGCTCCCAGCTCGTCGCAGCCTTGGCGCACTTCATCCCCGAGCTGCAGGCGGGGGCGATCCTGCCTCGGTGCTGACGCCGTGCCCGCTGCCGAAGGCGGCGGCCCTGGCCGTCGCGGGGCTGCTGGCGGCCGCCGGGCATCCAGCCATCTTCGCGCGCCGCCGCGCCCCTGCCAAGACCCAGCGGCGGGGTCGCTGGCAGGCCGCCAGCTCGATGAAGAGGTGCGCGAAGGAGACCAAGCGCCGGGCCGAGATAGCCCGGGTCCTGGGCGACGCGTGCACGTTTGGGCGCCTCGTGGAGACAAACATTGCGGCCGTGCTGCAGGGCGGGCTGCTGATGTCGCCCTTGGTCGAGCAGGTGCCCGTCAGCCTCCCGGCGGCTTTCTCGAGGCCCCGCGCAGCGCCCAGCCAGCTGGCGCCATTTGCTACGCCAGCCGCCGTCGAGAACCACTTATCGCAGAAGTTCTCGCGTGCCTTGAGAGGCGCCCGGCGGCGTCGCCGCCGCTGCTTTCTCGAGCTCTTCGCTGGCCAGGGGAAGATCGGGGGAGCTTTGCGGCGCGCGGGCCTCGCGTGCATCAGTCTCGATATAGCCAGCGGCCGTTGTGAGAACCATTTAGCTGCCGCTGTTGAGAGGAAGATCATGGGGTGGATCAAGACTAGGGCCGTCATAGGGGTGTGGCTTGGCACGCCTTGTGCGACCTGGACTCGCGCGCCTCGCCGCCCTTTGCGCCCAGCATCTGCCCCCGCGGGCCTGCCCGACCTCGGCCCCCCTGAGGCTGCCAGGCTAGATAGGGAACAGGTCTTTTCATTTCTCATGCCGTAGCATCTATGTGTGTGCGTCTCTCGGGATCCCTGTCTTCATTGAGAATCCCCAGGCGTCTTTGATTTGGGAGGCTCCGAGATTCAAGGCCTTGTCTCGCCTCCCCTCCTTCGCCTCTTCCGTCCCACACATGTGCCAATGCGGTACCCCGTGGAAGAAGCCCACCAAGATTGCGGCTTGGTGTGGCGGCTCAGCATACCATCTGCGCGATCGCTGCTGCCCTGCCGGACGCGTTTGCTCTAGAACCAACCGCCCCCACCTTGTCCTCGCCGGCCGCGGTCCTGGCGGCGTGCGCTACACAGCACTTGCCGCCGCCTACCCAGCTGCCTTCGCTCGGGCAGCAGCGGCGCAGATGATCGAGAGCGCCCGCGCGATCCAGTCGCGACGCATGGCTCGCCTCAACGGTGTGTGCATTTGACTGGACAGTAACATGTATGTGCTTGTTATTATGCGGCCTGCGGCCATTCTTTACCATGCGGGAGTGGGTGCAGTGTCGAAGCCTCGTGCAGCCTGCTGTCGCGTGTTACTGTTCACGTCTGCCTTCCTCGGTCTTCTCAAAATACATCGTCCTGGCCCTGTGGAGTTGCCCAACATGCTGGTTCATCTTACATGGGGAATCATGTGTAGCAGCATGGATGGGGCCGCACTTGTGTCGGCTCAAGTTCCCCCTCCCTCCCGCCCGCTCTTTCTCCTCCCAGTGTCAATTCATTTAAGCTCCCCCGAGTGGCCTCGGGGTGCAGTGTCAAAGCCTCGTGCAGCCTGATGTCAAGTTAGTGTTCACGTCTGCCTTCCTCGGTCTCCTCAAAATACATCGCCCTGGCCCCGTGGAGTTGCCCAACATGCTGAAGATATACCACCGCCAGCGCGTGGGGGCCGGGATGCTGTAACTGCATTCTGGGCCCCATATGGAAGATTACTACGCTGCGTGTAACCCCGATCCTCTGCCTCGCCGCGCGACGCACAGCTCAGCCGCTCCGCGCGCCAACCGCGCTGCAGATCGGGCGGGGGGCGAGATCAGGAGGCTGCCTGTCCTAAGCCGCGCAGTCGCTTCCGGCCAGCACCTCGCTACCCTGCGCGCACATCATCCCAGGGCGGGCTGGCTTTTACTTGGGCCTGGCTGGTTCCCATGCCCGCGCGCTGATCCCATGCCCACAGCCGAATGGACGCGCTGGTATTGTCGCTTGTGCGACACCCACGTCACCACACTCCATGCCATGCAAAACCTCGAGCGGGGGGTCGAGGTCACTGTCAACGCTCTCCCCTCCCCAACCCCGACTCCACCTTGTGGCCGTGCGCGGTCGCCGTTGATGGCGGTGCGCGCACATTCGGAGAGCGCAAGGTCGGTGGAGGCGGCGCCGCGCTTTGGTACCACAACCCGGAGACTGGACGCCCCGACCTTGTCGGAATTGGCATCGTGGCCTTACCCAGCTCGGATAGCGCACAAGCAGCCGAAGTAGTGGGATGCATGACAGGGCTATCACTACTCAGCTTCACAGCGTGCCGCGGGCAAAGAGCACGTGTCGTTGGCGATAACCTCGGTGCCATCAGATACGGGGCAGGCGCGGCCAGGTACAGACGTCTCACGCTCTGCCAGCAAATGGAAACGGGCCTTCGGTCCGCTGAGGATGCCGGGTGGGCGCTGACCTGGCAGGCCTTGCGAAGACGTCTCAACAAAACTACTGACCGCCTGGCCACGCTGGGTGTCTCTTGGGCCCGCAAGCTGCACGAAGCCGGCCAAAATGCAACCGCCATCCTCTTCCACCGTGCCTCCGCCCCCTCCTCTTCCTCCTCTGTTTGCTGTCTCCCAGGTGGACCTCCCGGGCGCTGCTGACGCTGCTGCCGCGGTGGACGCACTGGAACGCCCGTAAGCCGTTTTGGCTCAGGGGGCGCGCGGTCGGGCCCCTCCTCTACCCCCCCCGCTGCTGCTTTGGCCGGCGATCGCTCACCGGGATCGAGCCTAGTCTGTCCTCTCCTTTGGTGCTCAGGCTGCAGCGGTTCGCTGCCGCAGCGGGTGCGGCCACTGAAGCGGTACGGGGCGGCAGTGGGAAAGCACGCGTCTCGGCCCGCCTTCTGGCGCTAGGGCCGCACGACCCAAGTGGACCGCGGCGGGACATCGCCAGTGGACAGCCCATGTTCGAGCTCCGTTACATGCCGACGTTGGCTTGGGGACACATGCGGACACGGGGGTGGCTGTGCGAGCCCTGCCGGATGCACGCGTGGGATAAAGCTCACTTCTGTGAAGATCATCACAAGGAAATTACCATTAAACAGTGGAAGGACGGCTGGCCATATCCGAGTCAGTCTGACTCCGCTGGGAATCTGTGGACGCGCACCAACGGCACATGCATGGACAAGGTCACCGGGAACGCACTTCACGCGCCTCCAGTGGCATGGATGGGAGCCCGAGTGGAAGGCTGCGCCAGTCGACTGGGCGAAACGGGGACTCCCGGGCCCATGGATCCCGATGCGCCGCGGCCAGGAAATGCTCTTCCCACCAAACTGGGACCAAGTTCCAGTCCTCTACCCCACGACCTACCAGTCGTCCACTGCTTTGCCGCTGCTGGGAGTTACCGGGGACAAGGATGAAGTCCGCCCACCAAACAGTGCTGGGGGCCCTGGAGCTCCAGCGCGCCCTCGAACACGGAACACCGGGTCACCGAGTGAACCCAAAGTATTGACCGCTGACTACATCGCTCGCAACGAGAAGGCAGCGCAAGCAATGGCACCACCAGGGACCGCCAGTGGCGCCTAGCCAGTCGCTCCCCCTCAGGAAGAGGCCGCCTCGGTAGCTGGCACTGGCAGCTCAGGCGCCGCTGCGAGCACTGCTGGCCCTAGTCCTCGCGGCGCACCTGTCACCGTTCCCAGCAGGCCAGTCTCCCAGACAAAGGGGAACTCAGGCCAATCAAGCGCGCCGCCCAATCCTTTCACCGCTGTTACTGCGGGTCGTGGACGAGAAGCCGCTGCTGAAGTACAGGCGATCTACAGTTTCGGGTGGGGCCACGGAAGACAAGCGATCATTCCTCTCGATTCCCATCGGAAGGGTCCCCAGTGGAGTCACTATGCCCAACGCCTGGCCTGGCCAACAGACGCCGAGGAACACGTCGCCAGACTGGTTCGGATGAGCCACGTTGAAATGCGTGCCAACCTTGGCCCAGATTATAACGGAAAAAACAAAACTCGTAGAGGCTTGAAAGCCAATCGCTCCTGCGCCTTATGCGCTGGCCTAGAACTGGTGACACCAGCGAGTCGGCGCTGGTTCATTCAGGAGTGCAACCTGGGGGATTGGATAGGGGAGCGAAGCCGCGGACTGCCACGTGGTCAACTGGGGCGCCGAGTGGCAGCTGACAGCAGATTGTGGGGATGAGGAGTGCGAGCGGTGCTGCTGTCATACAAAGGACCCGACGCCGACGATATCGCCTGTCTCCGCGTGGTCTTCCCTCGTTTCCCTGGGCGGGTCATCCCAGACGACAAGCGGAGGTTCCATCCGCAATGTCGCGTCTACCCGACCAACGGCCCCCTGGTCAAGCATGACAAGGTCGACGGGCCACTGCGCAGCACCTCTGCTCTAGCGCCACTGCCAGAAAAGACAGGAGCGATTCGCTACCGCGTCGACATCGCGCCGAGTGCGATCCAGCACGGAAAGGTCAAAACTGCCCTGTCGAACATGTACCCTTCTGATGTGCACCGGAGCGATATATGGGGGGCCGCGCTTCTTGCGTTGCCATGCATGCTGGCCTTCGGGACAGACGACAACGGGAAGACGCAAAAGTCGAACGACACCTGCGGGAACGCGCTACGCGGACACCTTCTGCGCCTCTGAAGCTGCGCAACGCTCGGGGGCCCGCTGCTCGATCCTGACCAGTCTGGCGACCCGGGGGGCGGGCCGGACGCATTGGAACCAATCGCGGACGCAGAAGTAGACGAACACCCAGGCTCGGTGTGGCAGCGCGCCAACAACGTGCCCGTTGAGGACACCATCAAAAGGGTCATTGCAGCGCATGGCCTCAACGACGACCATGCGCGGGCACTCCGCTCATCCGTCAAACATCTCGTCGCGGCGGTGCAGGGCCCACCTGGCGCAGGGAAAACACGTTTCGCAGCCGCACTAGCAAGGCTCTGGGCACGTGTCGCGGGTCTTGGTTCTACCGTTCTCGCCGTCGCTGGCTCCAACGCAGCAGCAGACCAAACAGCCGTCGCCCTCGAGAGCACGCAGAGAGGGCCGCCTCGTCAACTTTCCGCAATGCCCGAGCATTGCTCACGACTTGCAGAGGACGAGCGCATCGCGCAGCCTGACGCTCACAAGTTGTCAGCCGCCAGCCACTATCTGCGCGCGTGGAACACCGAGTCGAACATGTCCAACAATATAAGGGCTGGCGGAAATTCAAAGACGACCTCAGCAGCAAATTCAGCATTATCATTGTGACCCACGAAGGTTCCTGGAGGCTCGACCAGCCCAACGCACCCAAGGTGATTTTGGGCATCGTCGACGAGGCTGGCCAGGTCAACGAGGTCCCTGCGCCATCTCCATCAGCATCATGGTCGACTGCGGCGCTCGCATCGCGCTCGTGGGCGATCTCAAGCAGCCCCCGCCCACAAGTGCAGGCCCGGTGCGCAGAATACCAGGGACTACAAGCATCCCTTGGCAAGAAAGTTCAAGACTCC